GCCTCCAGTGGGGTGGAGAACCTGGCAGGGAGCAGGCAGCCATGCCAGAGAACTTCCCCCAGATAAAGGCACCAGGCACGGAACGCCCCCTCACCTTCCCAGGCAGTGCAGCAGCCCCACTGCAGACCTGCCCTGCCGGCGCTGCTCTGTTCTCCTGCCAGCCGGCCCCAGCAATCAGACCTCCTGCACATCCCTGTACTTGCCTCTTGCCTGCTTGGGCATCGCCTGTCTCGCAGCCCAAATCCCTGCCAGTTTAGAGACTGGAACAAGAAAGTCCCAGTTGTTGCAAGCCTGCACAGATTTGGGGTGACATCGAAGCCCAAAGCTACCTCCAGGGAAGCCCAAGCAACCAGGAAAGGTTGGAAACGTGAAGATCCCTGGCCAGGGAAGGTGGAGGAGCTCAGGGCATCCCCGTGTGGGGTGCAAAGACACCATCCCACGATGGGCAATGAGACCTAGCTCCTTCCCAGCTCTGGGACAGCCACTCCATGCCCCTCCTCCCTCTGATGCCCAAACATCCCAGCAAACATCCACAGGGATAATATCCCTGGATATAAACACTGCCCACACCCCCGTGGCAGGGGAGCCAGCCCTGGGGTACCCCTGCAGCCGGGCAGGGCTGGGGTTTGGGGCTCATACACATCCCTCTGCTCCCCCTCGTGACAAATAACCACCACCACCAGCTGGATTCACCTTTTATTAAACTGCCCAGAACAAAAAGAGGAGAGAGCAAAGCCTGCCCTGAGGCCTTCCCAACGCTAGTGCTCTGCATGCCTTCCCCACCAGGAAAAGGGGATTTTCCTCCAGGAAAACACCCTCAGAGGGTATTTTAGATAGAACTAAGAGTGAAAATGTCCCTTTATTGGGGGAAAAAAGTGAAATGAAGCTCCTACTGCTGTCAGAGCCCAGTCCTGCTTTCTTGCAGACGAGGCAGGATGGACACGGGCCACGTTGGGGGGCACCAGCTGGAAACAGCCTCCCAGGTGGGGCTGTGCAGGTACTGCATCCCGCCTGGGGACGCACAGCAAGATGGGATCACCCCACCTCTGATAACCCCAGCAGCAATGAGTGCAAACCCATGGGCTCGTGGGGACTGGGAGGAGGCGAGGAGCAGGCACGCTCGCTGGGCTGCCAGCTGGAGGAAAGGTGGTGAAGGAAAGGGTGATTTTAGCTAATGATCTCATGATAATGATAAACCCTTTGCAGGTGGCTCTATATGGTTCAGGGAGGCTCTCCCTGGGGCTGTGCCCTTAGCACAGTCTGGGCTCATCACAGAGGAGGGCTATGGCTGGGCTGAAGGAGTTCAGCTTCCCCTGCGAATGGGACACAGCATCCCACCAGCCTGGAGGACCTACCAGCAGTGAAGTAAGGTGTGCTGGTGGGTAAGTGGGTGAGGGTATGGACCTCCAGCTTCCGAAAGTACTGAGCCAGCCACAAGCCTGAGCTTAGACCTGGAGGGCTGGTCATGGGAGATGCAGTGCCACGAAGCTGTCCCCTTGTGCTGAGCAGCAGGACTGCAGCCCGTCCCCCTCCTGCCCACCTCTCCCTGCCCACCCACCAGCTGCAAACCTGCTGCGTGGCACCAACTTACCTGCACCTGGTGTCAGGGGACAACTTGAAGATCCCCAACCCTGCAGGGCTCACTAACACGGGCTTTGCTTCCGATACGCTCTCAGCAAGTGCAATCCAGCCCATGTAGCAAGAGGCATGTGCTGGCAGTGGCCACAGCCAAGGTTAGGCAGGGTGGGAGGGCAGCAACGCCTCCGTTTGGGGAGCAGGGAGGCGGGAAAGCAAACCTACAGCTTGCTGGACTTCGTATCGGGGGGTCTCTTGCCAGACCCAAGTGCTTGAACCTACTTGGGAGGAAAAAGCAAAGAAAAACTGACAATGTCATTCAGTGCCTGCAAAAAGGAATGATTATTTCTCAACAGGGTTTAAAGGCTCCCGCTGGACCCTGCGTGGGGCTGGCTGCCAGCTGAAAAGGGAGAGGAACAGAAGAAATGAGAGCAGTAAGAAGGACCTGACATCTCTGTTCTTAATTTATCATCATAGTAAGACTCGAGCACTGAGTACTGCTCAGCACACGCTCCTAGATGGATTTCCTCCGCAGCCGGGGGTGTTGCCGGCAGCGAGCGCTGTTGGATGATAAAGTGCTCCCTGGGGAAGAGCCGGTCTGACCCCGCGTGCTCAGGGAGACCTCATCGATTTTGTAGGAAATGGAGTTGTAATACACGGGGTTGGTGTGGCAGCTCAGGGTCTCGGGGTGGGATGGCACCGGGCTGCTGCATAGCTGAGGTCTGTAGCACAGGCATGTGCAGAAGGAGGGGACTGCGGCCGCTGAGTTGGCCGACTGGCGCCGCTGCCTCTCCACATCCTCCTGGATCAGTGGGATGAGGTTTATCTGGCTCATCCTGTCCTCCACGGGGAGAAAAATGGCATTGTTGCTCCGGCTGTCCTCTTTCGGCTTGAGGTGGATGTTGTTCTGGGCTCTCCTCAGCGAGGCTCGCTCTTCAGCGTCCCGCCGCTCGTCCTCCGAGTTCATCGTCAGGAAGCGCAGCACCACCAGGTTGAGGAAGGCACCGATGACAGTCAGGCCCACCAGGATGTACATGAAGCTGAAAGCCACGTATGGGGGCTTCTTTTGCAAAGCCTCGTTCTTCTGCAGAGCCACAAAGTCTCCAAAGCCAATAGTGGTCAAGGTTATGAAGCAGTAGTAATAGGCATGAAAGAAAGTCCAGCCCTCGAAATAAGAGAAGGCTGCTGCGCCAATGCACAGGGTCCCCATGCAGGACAGAAAGCCGACTAGGACCATGTTCTCCATGGAGACATTGGTTGTCCTCATGCCCAAACACTTCTTGATCTTCTTGAGCAGCAGCCGCACGACAGTGTTCATGCGCTCCCCCAGGCTCTGGAACATGACCAGCGTCAGGGGGATGCCCAGGATGGCATAGAACATGCAGAAAACTTTGCCGGCGTCCGTGCCTGGGGCGGCGTGCCCATAGCCTGCGAAGGAAAGAGGAAACGCAGGCGTCAAGCCCTCACTGGGGTTTCCAGCAAGGCCAAGGGGCCAAGAGGAGCAGTAGGAGAGCGGGGGGAAAATGGAAAATGAATCAGTAACAGATCTGCAGGCAATGCTAACGGGGCCACAGGGTGCCACATCCTTTGGGATGATGGCACATTGCAGTATCATATGGGCAGAACCTCATTTGGCCTCTAAAGAGAGAAGGTACCCTCCTGACAGCCCCTGAGCTTGTATGAGGTCACGGAGGCCAAGAGGAGCCCTAGAGCTGGATTGGGGTCTGCAAGCCTTCTGCAGCTCACAAGCAATTCAGAGGCAATGATGCCGTGCCAGCGCTGGGTCTGCAGGGTGGCCGGGATCCCCACAGCGAGGGAGGACGGAGGCTCCGCAGGATGCTGAGACCAACAGCGCCAGGTCACCCTGCGGGAAGGTACGCGCCCAGCCAGTCCCGTCCACAACTGCCCTTGCAGGGCAATCGTCACCTCCCCCTGGCACCCGCTCCTGCCCCTCCTGTCCCCTGAGCCCTCCAGTGTCACGTGCATCTTTGACTCTCGGCTGTATGATCATTTGCTGCATGGCCTGTTGGATAGGAGCTATAGGGCCCCCCTGCTATAGGGTCAGTCCTCACAGGAGCAGCTAAGTCTGGGAGGACTTCTGCAGAGCAACTTCAGATTTACTCCACTGTCACTAAGACTCAGACCTAAAGCACTGCTGGATCGTTGGGGAGGAGGGGTTGTTCTGTTTTAAATGCAGGGAAGTATTTATGCCACCATGTCCCCATCAGCCCTTGTCCCAGGGACAAGGAGCTGAAGGAGGACAAGGTTCTTTTTGAACACCTTCTGAGATTTAATTTCCCCACCTTGCTCCAAGTTTCAGAGCTGTGACTCAAGGACACACACAATTACACCGTGAGTCGTAATGAGGTATTCACTGCAAGCTTCCGGACTTCGGTGATTCTGCACCCACCTCACTTAATTATAGAAGCTTAACAGAAATCGGTGGCCCCTGACCTAAGCGGATGAGTAACCAACTCAGCGCAAGGGAGTCACGCGGTGTGGGGAGTAACGGCATCCAAAGGCATCCAAGCCGACCGTGGAGTTTCTATGAGAAACTACCAGGGCTGGAAACTTCCTTTCTGAAGGTGCCTGCAGAACAGCGCCGGCTCCTTCCCGTGCTGCTGCGTGGCCTTTTGCAAACAGCTATTTATAGTTTCACTTTTGCCAGGTAACTTTTGCATGAAGATATGGGGGAAACCCCCCCTTTTTTATTTCTCAGTCTTGTTCAAAGCTGTGACTTGGCTTCACCTCTGTCTCTGCTGCCAGTGGGTTTCCAGGACTCTTAGGGAAGCTGTTAGCACACAGCGATGGGAAGACCAGAGGATGATAATCACGTTGTCCCAGGCTCCCGAGCACACCTCCCAGTCCAGGAAACTCCTGCAATGGGAGAGGGCTGGGAGGCTGAGGACAGCGTTACCCTCGACCGTGCTGTGCTCCAAACTGCAAGCAGGCAGGAAGGGACCGGTTTCTAATTGCTCTGTCTGTTCATAAACCCACGCAATCAAAAATGATAAACTTAATGCCTGCATGCCACATTTCACAGAATACAGAGCAGACATGAGACTGCAGTGGCAAAAAACCCCCAGTCAGATCCAAGCTTAATGACTGAGTGCAATTATCAGGTCCTAGGCTACAAGATAATACAATGACAGCAGTGAGGAGGTAAATATAATGATCCAGAAAAGCAGTAAGTGGAAAAACAGTTGTTGTATCCTGAGAGACTGCTGAAAGAGTATTTGACTGATGCTTTCAAAATGACAAAGGGAATTAGAAAGAGTAAACACCGCTACATTAATGTTAAAACTCAGATTCGGAGCACAGCCCCATATAAAGAGATCTAACGTGCCAGCGTTTTAGAAATATGACACCTGGGCTAAAATTATTTATCACATGTGGTGTGTGATAAGCGTAGCAATTGTTTGTCACAGTCAACAGAAAAATAATGTAAATGAGGCTATAACCTGTCACGAGATGATGGAGATTTTCACTGAAGCCATTCATCCTACCCTCCTGCTGGGGCCTGACACTAACCGTGCCCTGAACCCATCGCTGTTTGCTGGCCACGTGCGTTGCCAGCTGCACAAACCCCACAGCGCATCTCGTGGGGGCACACGGAGGCCCCTGGGGCAGGGCCTGCGGGGTACCTGCCCCTCCGCCACCTCTAGTCCCCTGGTAACGCAACGCAGTTGATCCCACCAGCCCTTGTCCTGAGGGATGATGCCTTCAGCTACCAGATGTATTTCACCCATCCCAAGCCCCTTGGTAAGGCTGAGCCCCGTCCTACAGATGAGGAGGTGGCTGCTGGCTGTGGAAGGGCAGGATTCGGCCCCAGGGTTCCTGCCTCCAAGACACTTCTGCTGATTGAAATCCCAGCACGAGCAACGACATGAGCACAGGATCCCACACCTGTCTACCCCCACGGGATGCTCAGGGTGCATGGATTAATAAAAGTGGATTAATTAAACAATGCTAAACTCCCATGTGGCTAATTTCACCTAGAATTAAGGCAATCCGCATTCAATTTAGTTTCATTCTCGTGCAGAATTGAAGAGGGCAAACCAAGGCTGGGCTCTAGTATGGGTAAGTGTGTCTACGTAGGGGTTCAATGTGATTCACTCACTCCCCTCCAAGCTAATTGACACCCATCTCTCTGCAGGTTCCCGTGCAGGCAGAGCGAGGTTCAGTGTCTGGTGGCTGTCTTGGCTCCCTGAAGCAGGTCTCGTACAGCCAAACATCCAGAGTTTCGAGCTGACAAAGAAGCCGACAGTTCTCGCCCAGCTCTTCAGCCTGGCTTGCTGGCTACAACCCTGCCCAGAGGACTGACGCGGCTCCCCCCTCTGCCCTCCTACACCCCCGCCAACTTCTGCGGCTGCCTGCCCCAAAGGTGCCTGCAGGAGCTCCGCGTGCTGCCGCCTCCCCGGGACAACGTGCCGGGCACGTTTCGC